AACTTTCTTATTTTTAAAATTATAATTATAATATAAAAAATACATTTTTAATTGAAAAATATTTACATAAGCACGCGGGAGGTGGTAAAAGCTTTGCTTACTTTTGCTGACAAGGGGGGATGGGGGGGGTAAATCATTGTAATAAATCTGCTTACGTAATACTTGAACGGCCCCATAAAAAAAAGTTGTATTCATGTTTTTTTGGCATAATTTTATACCGAATCTCCGGTCACCAGCGCCCATACTGAGCAAGACCAGCTGGGGGCAACCACTATGCGATATTATAGCGAAGTGAGTGATCTAGGCGGACGACGAGTGGCGCGTGCGACTGCGCGTAGCTAGAGATAGCCTCAGGTCAGCGACCGGCGCGGGGTCAACGCCCGCTGACGTAACGTTACGCGAATTCCGACCGCCCTCACTTCGCACCGACCTAATTCCTTCGAAGCCACTTCGTTTCTGCATCGCTAATTATAAAACGTCGTTCAATTGCAGTCTGTACTGGCGTACACGCTATGTTTCTAATTCATTCTAGAAGGCTGTTATGTCGACGCATTTTCGACATGTTTTATCTACACTCGAGTTATATGATAAAGGAGGAAATTGACCTGTAAGAAGACCTGTAAGGCGTTTCCTTTGTAGAAATCGTTTCTTGGACGTTATTGTCTCCTTAATATACTTAAAGATTTCTTACTTTAGGCAATATACTCCTAAGCATATAATTTAGTTAGAGGCCTAATAAAAAACACGATTTTCAACAAGGAGTAAAATAAAATGCGCAATTAACTTTGACGAAAATGAATTCGTACTATTATTTGTGTAACAATTGTGTTAAAAATTTTCGGTAAGTGTGCTCATCCAGATTACAGTTTTAGACTATGAAAGTATAAAAGGTCAAGTCATAAAATTGCAGTTAGGCTACTCTGCCTTTAGAGGTCTCGTATATTTTTAATTTTTTTCGAGCATCCATTAAAATGTACATTTCATTAATATAAAAATAATATGTGTATCTTATATCTCTAAATATATACATAATTATAAACGCAAGGAAAGTTACTTTATTAATTTTTTTCATGTGTATTCTATGTAAACACTCGGCTATAGTTAAGAAGACGAAATATCTTCCAAGAGATTATGATTGTGACATGCGTCTTTGAGATTTAACACAACAAAAAAAGCCAACAAGCTTCTTCAAGAACGTTTTTAAATGTTCCTTTTTTGGAACAGATATAGTATTTAGATAAAATAATTTAATGGTTGAAAACGCGATATACCGTGGTCACTACGAGGCCGCCGCAAAGCATCCGAAACATAAACGTTAAAACATTTTTCAAATAAGTTTAACTAATATAAGTTGCGTTTTAAACCGTTAAAATGTTTTACTTAAATGTGTACTACTCGCGTTAATTAGAGACAGAATAATAGTAAAATCATCCGAAAAATTATCAGTGATTGTATTTGAATTGACATATAAATATTACTAGCTTTTCCATATAAAGTAGATATTCATATTGAATGCGTCTTGAGGACCATATTTGTTCTACCGTTGACGTAAGGAGTCATTGATAAATCCATTGTTTCTGGCGGTGGTACACACAAAGGACGCTGTTCATATAATTATTGTTGTACAGACTTGCCATCTGTTTATTCGATGATGTGACCTTTTGTATCGGAACACGTTATAAATACCTAAATAATATTTCTTTATTATGCTGACTTAAAAAAAATCAACAGAGATCTGATAAAATTCCATCTACAAATGATAAAGCCGATAAGTTTAATAGTGTTTCAGGTTTCAGTTTGTGGATTTTCGAATATCCAAAGCCATTCAACAGCGCGTTTTGTGGACACGTTGGCGTATTTCACCTTCCATTAAGAGAACCTCATGCTTATCTGCCCTCCTTAATCATACAATAATATGGCAGACATATAAAATAAATTTTCTCAATAAACAGATTAATTTTAACATACGTCCATTCAAAAACAAAATTTCGCGTTTCTAAAAAAAAGTTTGAAAATCGATTCTGTTTCGTGACACATAGATAATCTGGTAAAGTTTTGATTTATAACACACGTTTAAATAATAAAACAATAAAACATCGCATTTATTAAGTCAATTATTGTAAAAACATTGTAAAATCTATTGAATGACCTTTGTATATTTAAAGTGGGTGACGTCAGTCAACATACAGCGCTTGTTGAAAAAATAGTAGCGGTCATACAATGTCACCCCCTTCTATAGGGGACACTGGGTCTCAGTCACATTGACTTCACCTGCTCGCTTGACTAATGCAGTGCAACTGATAAACAAATTCGGCTTCAACAATGATTTTACCGGACAGAGCTTTTACCTATAAAACATCCAGTTGGCTCCGGTTGGTTCGTATTGTTAGCTAGTAAAATCCTGGACTATAAGACAGACACATATCAGTGTCCCTTTTACTTATTGATTTTACATGCAAGATGACTTTTGTGCACTGCCCAACCGAAGCTGCTTGGAATTCGAATTTAGAACCTCAACAGCTTAACGCGATGCTAAACAATCAAATGACACAAACTTGCAGTAAGAATTTCTAAAAAAAAACGACAGTAAGTACAATTTGATAGCTTTTCAATTAACAACCGAAATTCGTGGAAGAAGAAAAACTTAGATTAAAAAAGGATTGAAGCTTATCGATGTGATCCATGAAGGTAATACTTATCTAATACAATGTTATATGAGAATTTTTAATTAGTCGAGAAAAGCGATGCAAACCGTATTTAATCACCAATGAAGTGTTATCGCGCATATGCAACGTTATTATGAGTAGGTATAATATTATGCAAGTGCGAGCCACGTGTAAGTTTATTGCTTTACGGTAAACGTGGACTGCATCGTCACGCCGAGAATCGTGTACCGCTGAAACGGGAATCACGCCCACGTATAACCGTTTCCCCAACGTTGGGCATGGTGCATTCTACGTTTGTTTGGATAATTCGTTTTATATACCGTTAAAATGACCCTGGATTCGAAGATGGCACCTCTAGCACTGCAATGATAGGCTAGTAGTTGTATAATGATTGTATTTATCATTAGAAACATTAATTAAGTAGTTTCTTAAAATTACTTCTACCGACAGCTTATGCCCGTGTGAAATCCCCCTTCGCATTCTAGGGCATAAAGGTGATACTTTGATCGATTTTATTTACAGTTGATCAGACTTCTATGCCGAACTCAAACCAAACAATTTCATGTTCTAGAGTTAGTTCTAGACATTACGTTTGACCATTGAGCGCAGACATTTCTTAAATTTTAAATTATTTATTAATTATGTAATATCGATTAGATTTCTCTGCCCTGGCGGACCGTTATTTACATATTTATTTTGGATTAATTGAAAAGCAGGAGCTTCCGCACATAATGATCCATGGAGACAGTCTGAACAACTGTAATAATAATTAATAATATAATTTATCAAATGATAGAGATAACTATTTTGTTGTGTTCAGAAATACTAACGCAAACATTTGTCTATATTTAAAATTTCCGCTGAGCTAAGTTGAAAAAAATTTATTAACTTTTATAAATAGTAGAATCGTTTTAAATGTTTTCTCTTTGATGATCAGTCTTAAAATTTGATTTTTAATGGCGTATAAAATAATTAACGATTAAATATTATTAAAACAATAATGTTAAATTTATATTATTACAACTAATTAAATGGATTTTTATTTTTTTTAATGGATTTGATGTCCAATACTTGACTAGTGCAGATGAGTGCTGCAAAGAAATGTGTTGATTATTATGCGTCAGCGCATGTTATCGCAACGACGGATGCCGCTTATCACAAGGTTAGTCGTTCTAGTCCACGTGTGTGCTGACCATTGTTCTTTATAATACATGTTTTAACATCTACTTAAACACTTTGTCGAAAACAAGGTTACTCCTAAATATGCTAAGGCTGTAACTTCATCCCTCTGTGAGTACATTTTTGTAACCACGATACAAGTTCAGTTCTAAAGCAAACCAATTTCAAAATTGTCTATAGTCGTCGCGAGGAGATCGCATACAAACACTTTAATGTTCTCTAACTGAAATGGAAGAACGGTTCAAAACGGGAAATATATGAGTTACCTTTTTTTTAATTACTATCCAACGGCAGTCGGCACTTATAAATCCGTATGAATTTATAATATTAATTTTCGTATTCTTATGTTAAAATTTTGTTTGCTCCGTTTTCGAAACTAAGGCGTTTTTTTACCGGGAATCAAACGGACTTAAACCGAACCTCTACACGCGAGCTCATATATGTATTTGTATGTAAATTACTTTGGTAGAACTAAAATCATGAACAATTTGAATGTTAAAGGAATGTCGTAATAATAATATGTATTACCCTTCACAAGTGCAGACATTAAAAATGGCAGTACTCGTGACGTGAACAGTTATTGCTTCGTACGATTCAATCATAGATCGACAAAGTTATTAGATTTGATTTCTTATAATATGTATTAATTGATCTAAGTAATGTCTACCAAAAAATCTTATTTTCATATTTTATGTTTACTTTATTCCGCAGCCATTATGCTGAAGCGTATGTTTTCAGGCACCACTGTATATGTAAGTGTTTTGTAAAAATAATAATAATATATAGTCTCCCCGTGACCACGGCTGCTGCAAAGCATCCGAGACGTCGGGCAGTAGTTATTTTTTTAAATAAGTTTAACTAATATATTTCGCGCTTTAAACTAACTAAAGCGTTTTATTTAATTTATAGTAATGTTAAAAGTAAGGAATGTATTTAGGCACTAGGTACATATATGTCTATCTTCAAAGAATAACTTGCAAGAACGACGGGACGCCACCGACGTCGTGAATAAGGGGTATAAATTGTAATGTTAAGGTGGAGGTTTGTAAAACCAAATTTTGTCGCCCAACATATCTATACGCGGGCGAAGTCGCTGACATAGCTAGTCATAAAGAAGTATATATTTGCACTTAATAATGCTGTTTCAATACTCACGTGAAGATGCATTAAACATGACAATGGAAGTGCTGAAGTGCAAGCCATGATAGGTGTCATGAAGTTGCGAGGGCGTCCGCGCGGTCGTCTCAAGATCAAGGTCTTGCAGCAGACGCGAGCCAAGGTCACCCGTGCCCCGCACGCCTCGCCCCGGCGCCCCGCGCCCGCCCCTCGTATGCTTTAGAGCGCGCAAATATTTGCGACCGTCTGTCCTCCGCGACCGATATGCCGAGGTCAGACCGTCAAATAGACCTTGAAGTAATATTATCCGACCTCTTCGCAGAAAAGATTATTCGCTATTGACACGGGAACACACTATTACTTCTAATTTTTAATACTGCTGCCCAACATTTACAATTTCACTCTATCACTGTATAAAATCAAATATTGTCCATTGATAGAGACAATTTTAATATATACTTCAATAAAAATTTTTTTCTCTCACTACAGCTTTATATTACAAATATTTTAGACATTTTAGTTTTACATATAAAACAATTACACAGACTAAAGGTTAAAAGTATAACACAAATTTTATCTTATACTAAACAGAATATTTAAATAAACAAAAACATAAAAATGTGAGGTAAACAAACTAGAGATAAAGATAGATTCTTCAAATGTCTACACTACTTACTTGAATATTAATAAAGATGTCTGTCTGTCTGTAACAGTTAGCATTAGGTGTTTAGATTTTCATCTAAAGATGTTGAGAGAAGACATTTCACGAAAAATTATATTGTATATAGTGTACAGAAATGTTTTTTTTAAAATATTAAACAAAGTCGTTGTTCTTTATTTAGCATGGCAACCGGTATCAATAGAGCAGTTTAAACTTCTATTCCCTGCCAGGAAATAAAAGAATCGTATTTAATTTTACTTATGCTCACATGCTTTAGTAAATTATATATACATAGGACATTTTTGTAGACAAAACCACTTTAAAAACAATTTCATTATCTGTTTATACAACTGTTGGTTAAGGACGTCTTTTATTATTCACAAGGATTTTCAATAAAAACACTCGGTTCCTATAGTTGGAGGTCATATGTGAATGTTTTAAACAAATCGCCTTGTATCTAGTCTGTAAAAAATTTGAACGTGTTTGAAAAATACATTTAAATAATGTAACTTGTTTATTACTTGTATTGAAAGAAATTAAATTTCTCCAATTTAATAGACACACAGGAGAGAATTTTGTCTATTATATACAGTACTCAAATGATTATATAAAACACTTAGTACACAGAACATAAATAACTGTGTATACAATGGAATGTTCTTGCATTAGGGAAAAGTTCTTCTCTCACTTCTCTTCTTCAATCTCAAGCGGTTCCCCGAACTGAAACACCAAAATTATGATTATTTTTACAACAACCATTCAAAGCAAAAATTTGTATAGCATGAAATTCTTATATCTATGTATTTTTTTATTATTATCTTCAAAGGAAGTAAGCAAAGTACATCAGAGTAAGACAGTTAATTAACAATAAGTAAGTATTAACTTACAAATTCTGGTAACTTTACCTTACTTTTGGTATCGCATCAGAATAATTCGTTATTATGACTGAATCCTTAAAACGGTTAGAATAATTTAGTAAAAGTATACAATTTTAGACGTACTACGTTGATTTATGTATTTAGTATCAATTTGTTGCAAGCTAACGTTTCTTGAAACTTACTGATAATTTCTAATGATATATCATTTTTTAGAGAACTGGTTCGATTCTTTCGAAAAGGTGATACATTGCAAGGCGCTTTCTTATCGTAACAGCTGAAGGAATTTAAGTAACATAGAATATATTATTGCAATATGTATATAGTTGAGTACCGACTTATATAAAGATAAGTACATACATAACTTATACTTATTATATAATATATTACAAAAGTTATTGCTTTTTACATTGCAGGTGTTCTCTAACTTAACAACAAGCGGTACTTATGATATAAAACTAAATAAAGATAGAACCCGAATCTCTCCCGTCGTGTGCCTCCTCTAATCTTCGGATGCTGGCCTGACATTGGGGCCAAGGTTTCTATGAATTATGGAGTACATGGCATTATTCAGGCGCAATGTATGTCAGTGTTTTGTTCGCGGTCAAAACTTTATTAATAGCTTCCGAAGGTTCGAATCGACATCGGGAGGTCAGCGTCGGAGGTTCCGGGGTTATATTAGTTAATTTAAATAGATTTTTAAGCACCAGGACTTAAGGCAAATATTTAGCGAAAACAATTGAAACATTCTGTATTAATGACTACTGCCTGCTGACCTGGCTAACGGTCTTTTACTTATTTCCACCAAAATTGGATTACCATAAAAACGGTATTTGTGAGATAATCTTAAAAGATGGACATGTACTGTCGCAGACATTTTATTACATTATTTAGAGAAGAATTATTTATTAATAGAATTTTATATTTTGACCGTTCACGCAGCGGAAGAGCACAGAGATCAGAATTAGTTTTCCCGTTTTCCACATTTCCCACTGTCCCTACGCTCTTATTGATCAAAGCCTGGGGTTTGATAGTCTAGACTCAGAGCCTAACTTACAAACGCTCCAACCAATGCAAAAATATGTTTTGCAATTCGAACTAGTTCCTGACATTAGCTCGTTCAAACAATCTCTTCAGCTTTATAATATTAGAAAACTCGTAGATACGCGCGTAGCTAGCTAATTTTGTAGATGTGGCCTCCTCTTCTACAACTGACTACAACAAACAAATGACAAACGTTTCAAACATTTAAGCTAGTGCTTACATTTAAGCGCAATATTTTACCGCATTTTAATAAAAGGCGGAAACGATACGATGTAGATATCGAATGGCGAGCAGAAGCGGCGCACGCGGCATTCGGCGCAAATGAGGTCAGTGGAACGAAGCATTACACTTGACCTCTTTACGAGTCCTTACCTCCGCCAGACCTTCGCACTTTTTACAACGCTTTTACGAGCTAGGTCGGGCCAATTAAGTGTCGAATAGTAACAATGACGCCCCCGTACGGCCGGCAGATGCAATGCTCTCATGATCAGACCAGTGTCCGTACTCTTGACACACATTCCGTTCAATGTTTGTAGGTTGTTTTAGTTGATTATTGTAATTATATTTAGGTTCTACAATGCCATGTACGATTTACCTTCGAGTTGCTGTATGATTTTAGATTGACAGATAGGCAGTTAAACAGATAATATTATAAGAACGTCACGGGATCACTTATGACGTAATATAACTTGCATATTACGTCATTATCAAAAAGGTACTACTTACGATACTTGTATTTTAAGTACTTTTTTGAGAAATAGCAATCGACTAACTAATCCTCGTTTCTAGTGAGTGGTGGCAGGTAGAATAAAGCGGCGTTGATTTTAGTAATATTAAATTTAGTTTTCAATCAGATTTTTTTAGTTAGAATTTTAAACATCTTTATTAATTTTAATTTAAACGTTGAATTAAATATACGTATGAAATTAGTGGCTTCTAGTCTTGTTACGGAATTATATTTGCTTAATTAAACAAACACACGTTTAGATAGTATCTCTTGTATCCTATTGTGTTTAGTGGACACTAATCTTATTTCGGGACCGGCCCGGGTTTGCCCGGGCTAGTAGCAGTCTAGCCAAACCGAAGAGACAATCTTAATTATTCTCTATTGGTTAATTCGAATATGTAACGATAGAGATCGTAGTTCGTTTAAATAGAATTTGAAGCCTTTGTTCAGGGTAGTGACAAAAACGAGAAACAACGTATCGGTATTAAAATATTATACACTGACACGTCGGTTCCTAGTAAACAAGGTCAGGGTGACCTTGGTGGAGAATTGTATTCTTAATATTATTTAAACACGTAAAAAGATCTCGCTGACAAACAAGGAAGTCATCGGTTATTTCGCGAAGCGTTTAATTGAACTTTGTTATGTAGATGTGTCGACTGGCGTTTTGTTCATGGCCAAAGCAATCGCATGAGATAGGTGGATGAATCAGGCCCGGACTATTGGCTAATTTTGCACTAGCTCAGCCCCGCGACTTTGAGCCTACGCATTAATTGAGGCCGCTAGAGGCAGAGTAGCCTAACTGCAAATTTTTGACTTGACTTATTTATAATTTTATAGTCTCCGCTATCACAAAAAACACTTCTGAACGGTTTGAAACGAGATGTATATAGTTTAAATGCTTTTCAGTAGCCCTTTTGCATTAACAACGGTGGAATTAGTAATATATCACGAGTTTTACGCTGTTACAAGTTTTTCATTTAATGTGTATAACTCATATAAACTACAGGCAATAATCAAAACTCTTTACAAAAAATAACAACTTAAACTTGTTTGCTGAGTTCTAACGAAATAATAACGGATCGTTATTTCTAACAAACATACAGTACATAAATATCCCTATATGTACAATAGTCAACAATACTTATATAAATAAATTTTTTTTTTATTAAATTTATTATATTTGAAAAATAAAAATATGGTAGTTTAAAGATAAGTGGGTTGATTGTTATTTTTTAAAATGTAATTATTTCAATTTAAAAGTGAGAATTATTCAGGCTTTTATCAATTTCTAAAGCGCCCTCTCTTATCGTCAGTGTAATGTTTGTGTGTAATATTCCAGTTAGCTAGAAACGATTATAAAGGAATAGTATTATTTACCAGTAAATATAAAAATGGGTCAATATCACGCGATAATGTAAACAAATACCGCATTGTAGAGTATAAGTCTAACAAGGAAGTTATTGTACATACATTTCCAAGAATGCACTTTATTTGTTTAATCCACAATGGACAAGTGCTTTGTAACTGTTCATATTGTGACAATTATTTTTCACTGTTGTTTAATTTTGAACCTATTGGTGTCTTACATCTGGACTCAGGTCCCTATCTATCCCGGAGTTCTCAGAAGTCAAAGAACTTCTTTTTGTTCTGCTAGTGGTGGAGACTGTTAGCTCTTAGCTCAGACCCACCAGCTTGGTCAATGCGAGCTAATGGGCTTTTGCAACTACAAAACTGCGACCTACCTATGACTTGTTTTCTGCGGTACAAGTTTTATAACACCACCTACTTCTATGCTCTTGGCGATTATTAGAAATTTTCCAAACAAAAAAAAACTAACTATAGAGATTAGATCTACGATAAGATTAATTCGTTTCAATCATTCAAAAACTATAGACAATAAAAATCCACGACCTTTTTAACGACTATTCCAAAGACAAAGGATTACTGAGTAAGAAGGTCAAATACGGCGGTAGAATAATATTTGTCTTGATATTGGTTAATATTAGTTGACATAGCGTCAGTCAACAAGCATTTGATAAGACAAGGGCGCTGCTCCGGCGCCGAGTCTCTATCGTTCAAGATTAAGGTCATACGATCTATAAAGGAATAATAAATTTAATGTTGCGCTATGTTTACCGCGTGGGCGAAATTGGTAATGTTTGCACGGAACATAAATATTATTCTTCATAGTATGTTATATAATTCTGACTGACTCGCTGGACTAATGGTAGTAACGTATGGCTAATAATTAACGGGTCGTGGATTCGATCCCCACCAGGTCCAACGTGTTTCTCATTAATTTACACGGATGCTTTGCAGCAGCCGTGATCCGTGCCCGCCGTGAGCCGTGACGCCTCCCCGTGACCACGGCTGCTGCAAAGCATCCGAAACGTCGGGCCGAAGTTAAAAATCAATTTTCAAATAAGTTTAACTAATATATCGCGTTTTAAACCGTTAAAGTGTTTTATTTAATTGTCTGAAACATGTTGAATTTCGTCTTGAAATATAATCTAGATATATTTAATATCTAGATTTCTAGGTGGAAGGTATATCGAAATTCCGCTTGTATCTCAAACTACCGTCCGCAGTTGAATGCTTCGAAGTTTCATCGCCGACTTTTTGAATGTTCAGAGCCAAAATGTTCGATGGCGCATCTTGTTGGGATGTTAAGTGATCGCATATAGACCGCATGCCTTATCTGTCCTCTATTCTTATTAAATATATATATTGTAAAAGACTCTTATACAAACAACTTCTAACTATCGTTTATCAAAAATCGCTATTTTAATCACGTGTCACAGGGAGAGCGTTTAAGTACATGGAGCCATGATATTTTTCTAGGTTAGTGTTGTAAACCGACTTGTGCCCGCTCGCTAACATCTTGCTTAGTAATCGAGTGCGCTTACCAATGCACCAGCCAGTACATAAGGAACTAAATGTTTAAATATAGCTATAATATATAATCTTAATTTACATAAATGTTATTTAAATATTAAACTGAACTGTAGCAAAAAGTAAAACACATAACGTGTATCGGTACCGAGTTACTTATGAGTCTTGTATTGTTGTATTTCTTTGAAACATACTAATATGTAACAAGTACGATAGCGTGTAAAACACGTTATCTTATCCTCAGTACATAATGTACGTGCCTCTCGGAAATTACTAAAAGAATAATTGTGACATTGACAACACTTTATCAATTGCGACATGATTATAACAGTTTTTGTAAACTCTACACAGATAATGTGCCCTACCTTATATTTCCTAGTGATAGAGTGTATTCTCTATGCCTTGTATACCTCATACTTAAAACGGATCAAAACACTTAGCTAAGCATGCACCAACCGGCTGCAGTAGAGTTTAATATATTAATTACTATTGGTAGAGTAACAGCACGGAATGCTGACGATGCCGGTTCTAGCCTTGCCCGAGTCAAAATTTTATTAAATTTATTTTGATTTTTAAACTGTTTAATATAATTCGCGTTTTTAACCGTTGCAACGTGATTTAATTATTGTATACCAATCACATCATTCAGGTATAATCATTACAGATATCTATTTATTTAAATGAAATATTATATTATATATAGTTTAGGAGCGATGTTCACTGAGGGACTATATACCATCTTTAGAATAATATTGTAATTGAAAAGTAGTCGCGTTTTAAACCAATAAGGGACTACAAAATGTGTTCTACAACTAGGAAACATGAAGAAGGGCGCTTTATCAAAGTAAAGCGTGTTTGATTTAAAGTCTATTCCGTCAGCCTTCTATTAACTCTTCCTAGTCAATATTCAGGGGACCTTCACAATTATGTTTACAGAGCTAGGAAAAACAATGATGAAGTACGCGAATGTTTGCCAAACACAATTGCGTAATTTAATGAGAACAATGTCGATCGCTTAGTGTTTCCATAACATTCGACGTTAATGATTTCTTGCTCTCTAAGGAAAATGATTAAGAGTTTTTTGTACCTATTTCGTAGTCTACATGCAGATTTCTAGGATCCCCATTATTGATATTAGGGCCCCTAAAAACCGCATTAATATTATTTTGCTTTATATTTGTGTTTGCGAATAACTCGATTCGCAGATAAAATCAAATTGAAATAAATCTAAACGCGGGAGAGGGACAGATATAAAATAGAGTGAGAAGGAAAATGCATAAATCAATGTAGTCTATGAATCCAGAACAATTATGTTGAACAAATTTGTTTTTTTTTTATTCCTTTTCAAATTTTTGAACTAGTTTTGCACACCTCAGCTATATTTAGAAATACTTATATTCTGGTTAGGATAACAGGATAACGTGAGGAGGATAACATTTTTGCAGTGTTAGAAGTTGTACTAGTCATCTTTATTGCTTTAGAAGTGGCAGCTGTTTTATTAAATAAGTGACTCATTTACTGTAGCGGTAGTTTGCGTCAATTCAACGTGGTATGTATCAGTACTTTGTCCAAGTCATATAGGATGAAAATATATCCGTACTACTATTTGGTATAAAGTAACCAATAACATACTGTCTGTTTACGCGAGTAGTACACATTTATACGTCGGGCCGAAGGTAAAAATAATTCAAATAAGTTTAACTAATATTTATCGCGTTTTAAACAGTTACTTTAACTGTTTAAAACGCGTTTTATTTTAAAATATGAAAAATATTTTGTCCGGCATTGAACGAGAAATTTGCAAACAACGTAATTCTTGGTTTTCTGTTTATGATTTAAAAAATAGACACAGAAATGTGTCTTCGAGTATTATGAATACCATATACGAATTTTGAA